ACATTAATGTGATGGCGTTACAGGGTTTATTTTATATACTGAAGGTATTTGGATTTTATTTTAAAGATATAGTGGTGGGTTTTGACAGAGCATTTCCAAGATTTAAGACAGTTAAAAGCGCTGAGGTGGTGAGGCCGAGGTAAGTTGAGCATTTCTGCTACTTCGAAATTAGTTGTTTCCATTCATCCTCCATCCGGCGCATAGTGATATGCGATGATTAGCGGTTCAGGGACTCATCTTTTCTTTTTTGGTGAACCTTCGTTCTATGCGCGGTGCCATCTGTCGATTGTCGTATCCCACTCCCGGAGCCGTCTCCTGACTAGTCACACATTGCTGGCATCTCCTCCTGAGTTAAGTATTTAGAACTCGCTGTCTAGTGCCATCTTGTGAGTGTGGTTCTCGTTTCTGACTTCATCATGGGAGTGCTGTGCTTTCCGTCTATAGCCAGGCTTGAGAGTCCTCACCTCGGGCTCCTATTTATGTTTATCCTCTTCGCTTCCGGTTCGCACAGTGAACAAGGCTTCTTACTGGCTCCAAAGGCTGGTGACTTAGCCCGTGTCATCACACCACACTAGCCAAAAAACATCCTCGAATATTCGTCCAGTCGGAACACAGCACATCCTTGCATCTAGTGCGCCTCTTGTCTTAGTCATGAGACGACCGATGCGCGGAAGACGATACCGCCATCCAATTGTTTGCAGTCTCGAGCATGAGCCTGACGTTATTTTACGACTCGATAAAGTGCATTAAGGGTGTTATCATAGCGCTTGCTATGGTTTTTGGAGTAGCCATGCCTGGACAGGAGTTGTGTGAAACAGTAGTCCACTTCTCCATGTCTCCTTTCGACCCACTTTGGGATGTTCGGAATTAGCTGGTAAATCCATCGGCCCTTTGAAGACCGGTCCCACCGGGCCTGTCACTTGCTTATAGTTTAAACTCACATTCAAATAATACTCAGTTTTTGTCAAAATAATGAAAGTTTATTTGTGTTATTATATCAATGTCTATGATATGTTATTGTTTGATTGTTTATGATGCCCACATTTGATAAGTCGCTTACACTGTATGATAAGTAGACCAGTGTTTCATGTAGTGTAACGATATTTCTGTTCGTCAGAGTATTTTTACTTACAGAAATGGCTCAATTGATAAAATCGTGAAGCTCTAGTTATAATCTTTACTTCGAAGGTTCTTTGTATTCTAAAAATTTTAGGACTATTGGCCAAAGAACTCAATGGCTCTGTAAGAAAACACCAGTGTGTGAAGCCAGGTCTGTCAGTATTGGTGGCCTTACTAACGTGCAATTTGTGAAAGAATGCATTGACGACCACGCCGATGTAGATGATTTCAGCGTAGTCATGGCTGAAAGAGTTGTTGAAACTATGAAAAGGAAAAAGCTCCCCCAGCTCAAATTTAGCCAGCTATAGTTTTAAATTATGACGAAATTCGTGTAAATACATCGCGACTTGACGGAGAAAGTCATCCTCATGTCCGTATTCCGACCTAGTGCTTTGAGCGGACTACCCGGGGTTATTTTCGTACAGTAACATCGTGAATTCCCGGCTAAGTCATCGTCGAGTCCGGATTTGGACCTAGTGCATCGAGCGATCTGTCCGGGACGATATTCATGCAAAAATATCACGAATTCCTGGAGAATCTTCGATATATGCGTATGAGGTGTGACTACTTTTTAGGTGTGACCATTTTTCATGCTTCTCACTTTAATAATGTTGTTTTCATCGAAAATAGTTAACCGTTCAAGAATTCGAATGCCTTATATCAACAGGATTTTTTCCAAGGAATTTCAAGGAAGGGTTTATCAGGTTCTTGATATCTTTCATCAAATTCAAATGAGAGCCTGCGCTCCTCGATATGTTGACTCGATATAATTAATGTTTATTTAAAATTAAAATTCATTGGACATCATATTGTTTTTGAGAATTAATTTCGAATTTTATTGTTTTATAAATGAACTTTTATGAAATTAATTTTTAAAAAAACTTGTCACATAATTTATAAAATTTTGAATTTATAAAAAGACTTTATTACAAAAAAAATTTAAAAGATGTACCCCAAACATATTCTTCATAAATTTTGTGTATACTTCCTGTAAATCTTACATGAATCTTACATAAATTCATTATGAAATTGACTTCAACAATCTACATAAAATTCATATGAATTTCATCCGAATATTTTAGGTAGGGAACTTATCGCCTAGATCTATTTTCAAAAAACGGCTCTTTTAAGCCTTCTATATTGTTAGTGAGAATAGCTGTACCCAGTTTCATTTCATTTAATTCAGTAGTTTTTTCGGAAAACAGGATCGAAATTTTTAATTCTGTTTTGATTAAATGATTAAATTTTGATCCTAATTTCTGGAAAGCTACTGAATAAAATGGAATGAAATTTTGTACAGTTATGGTAGGAAGTTACAGGATATTTGTGAGCTAGAACTCAGCAGTTGTTGTTAAATTTTGAGTTGTTGTTAAATCTTCAGGCAACTCAACCTGTGTGACACGTATAAAAATTATTAAGGATCACAAATTACAGAAAAACTACAAAATCAATCTAAACGTATAATACCTAGGTGATTTCTGTAAATATCTATACGATGTGTATAATACGCTAGTCAATTTCCTACTAACAATAATAAACCGCAGAAATACTGAAGCAGGTGGATGGGCGAGGTACTTGCGGCTGGAGCGTTGTGCGAAATAAAGCATTATAAGCCGTGATAAGTACGTGGATGGGTGACCGCCAGGGAACCCATTCTGTCAAGCGCATAGCCCCCTCACGCATGGTTCCGGTAAAAAAACTTGAAAATATTTTTTTTGAATTCCTTGACAAATTTTAATAAATTTTGACCGTTTCTGAATTCCGATTGAAGCCTCCTAGCTCAATCTAGAGCAGGACAAAGATTAATGCGAATTTCTGATGTGGTTTCTAAAGAGATTAAGAAACGATAAAACTATTTTGATGCTCTAGATCGAGCTAGGAGGCTTCAATCGGAATTCTCAAATGGTCAAAATTTATTAAACTTTTTCAAGGAATTCAAAAAAAATATTTTCAAATTTTTTTACCGGAACCATCGGGTTCTAGGAACCTTTTTTTGTTAAAAATAGCATTTTTCGGCCCTAGAAGTTATCGCATTTAATTGAAAAATCTGAAAAAATTTGAGGTTGTCTATTTTGATGAAAAAAAGAAGAAAAAAGTTTTTTCAGATTTTTCGAGGCTCCGTATCACTGACGCATTTTTTGATGAATTTTTTTCGTCAAAAAATGCGGTTTTTCAAAGGAGAGCCTTCAAAAGGAGCGTTAGGTAATCTGAAAAAATCTGGAAAAAATTCAACTATCGTTTTTTTAATACGAAAAGAAACTGGAAAAATTTCCGTGTACTACGTCGGCTCATATTGCCGTATCTCGATTTTCAGAATTTTTAATGATTTTATCTGAAGGCCTAAAGCACTCGAAAAATCTGAAAAAATTCAAGGTTGTTTGGATTGTTAAAAAATATTTTTATGAATTTTTTTAGATTTTTTAACTACTTCATGTCCTCAGAAAAAATATAGATCGAAAATAGACGTTTATACCGGAAGTAGGGGGTAGCAGGGGGGAGGGGGTCTAAAATTTTTTTTTTTTTTACCTTTTTACCATGTACTATAACATACCAAAAGCGCATCAAGATCGGTGACATACGTGTGCACGGTTTTGTAAAAAAGTATTATTTTGACCCATATATATAAACCGCAGAAAAAATATTGTAGCAGAGACGAACAATATACACTTATTAGCTCTCACAGAGAGCACAGAAGCGGTTGGTACAAATTAATGAGAAACTGGATATCTTCTTTTTTATTAATCGAACTTTTTTGCATATTAATGTGTATCATTTCGGAAAACCTCCGTTTAAAATATGAAGGTTCACGATTCAGTATCTCAGTATTTTCCCACTAACCCATTAAGTCCCAAGAGGACGTTTTTTCAGCCCTTTATTCCTCCACTGTATTTTTGGTAAAAATGGGGTAAAAAAATATGCAAGTAACTAATTCTAATGTAAAATTTAATGCCCTTTCAGAATATGATCTCAGATTTTCGAAAAAATGATTAGGTCAAAACTTGATTTTATTAAAAAAAGCGTGATTTTGAAAAAAAAAATTTTTTTATTTTTCGAATTTCCAAATGGAAACTATTTGAAATCTCAAGAGTTTCGTGCAAATATCGTGTCCTCGAAATCTAAACTGAAAGTTAGCGGGGTACCGATTGAAAAAATTAATGTTTAAACACAAAAAATAGCGGTCGAAACTCGCAAAATTGAATGAAAACTTATCGAATTTTTACTCAAAAACGAAGGACTTGAGAAAAAAGTGTATTTCTTAACTTCATTTTCTTCAATCTAAACCCTACTAACTTTTAGTTTAGGTATCGAGGACGCAATATTTGCACGAAACCCCTAAGATTTCTAATGGTTTTCATTTGGAAATTCGAAAAATAAAAAAAATTTTTTTTTTAAATCATGTTTTTTAGGGTAAAATCAAGTGTAACTTTTGACCTGATCACTTTTTCAAAAATCTGAGATCAGATCCTGAAAGAGCATTAAATTTTATATTAGAATTAGTTACTCGCATATTTTTTTGACCCCATCTACACCAAAAATACAGTGGCTGAATAAAGTGTTGAAAAAACGTCCTCTTGGGACTTAATGGGGGGTTAAGCTCATTTCTTGGTTCGGGCAAATTTTGTTTTAATTTTTCCACATCAATTATGTTTCGTCTACATGAATTATTTTAGACTAGATGTTTATATTTTTAAAATTTCAATAGTTTTTGCAAACTTAATGCAGCAAATAAATAACAATTATATTTTTTGGAGGAAACCTTTTGGCTATTACTTTTTAAATAGACACATTAAAATAATGATTGGAAAAAATTTTTTATTCAGCATAATTAATAATTGGGATATTCAAAAAAGTTTATTACAGTTTTAAAAAAAGTTACTTACCCCGTCTTTTTTATCTCTATTAAAGGCACCATGTAAATATTCTAATGAGACATCATCGTTTTCATTGAGCCACTGCATAACAAATGGTTCAAACCACGCAGGATATTCAGGTACTTGTCCTTTATATGGAGGTACATCTTGTACATAATTTGTATATAACCATTTCACTTTGAAATGCAAATTCATGTACGCTGATGATTTGCACGATCTACTTTGTTCATGCTCATCTAATGCATCTTTTACATCTATGGCAAATAATGACCAAACAGTCGCTGCAGAAAGCTGACCAATATTAAGTTCTTGAGGAAATTGATTCAGTACAGGAGCGTAACTATTTCGATCTTCTTCAATAACTGATACGATTAATGCTATTAACTTATGCCAAAAGTCTAATGAGGCTGGAGAATTTTCCTCATCTTTGCGAATTTCGTGAGGATCAATTTGGAATTCACGACTGTAGAGTTCATAACAATTTTGAAATAAAAATTGATAAGTGGACTTTAAGCACGCAATCACGCAATCTTTGACAACATTACTGGCTCTTGGTGGAGAAGTTAGTTCTTGAACTTTCATTCGAAAGAAGGTAATACTAGTCAGTAAATCAACAGTTGATTTTAAGTCCATCAATTTCTCTCGACTAGAAGCGGGAAAATTATTCCGATACATGCATAAATCAATTCGTAAAGAGTTGTGCAACTGATCTAATAATTTTACGAATTTTTCTTTCTGAAACATATAAGAAAAATATATTTTGTCATTAACAAATGATAAAAATTTAAAGAATTGTTTTTCAGCGTTTAGCATAATAAAAACCAACTTCAAAAGGGGTAGTTAATACACAAAATTTTTAATAGTAAGTTAATAAATATAACATTTAAGTTCATATTTACAAATAATGATGGAGATTGTCGAAGCCTCAGTGGGAAATTGGTAAAAATGGCCTGACTTCTAGGCACGATCATTGTTTCTGCCGACGACCAAGTATTCCATTACAAAAAAGTTGCAGAGGAAAGTCCTGCAGAAATTACCCACAGAAATGTCTACAGAATATCCTGAGGGTAATTCTGCGGGATTTTCTATGGGTAAATTCGCACTGAATGATTGTGCAGGAATTCTTGCAGAAATAATAATGATTTTATTGCGAGTTGAATTTAAACTCTACAAAAATCTTACAGGAAATCCACGCATTTCTAGCAGATTCTTAACAAAAAATTTCGTATTTTTAGACGGATTCTTCCAGGAACTTCCTGCTTTTCTCAAGGGTCACTCATTGCAATTTCGCGCATTCCTCAAGGTTTAAGCTTAGTAATTTTCCAGTTGAAAAAAATTGCATGGATATTCGCGTTGATTATCACACCGATTCCACGTGGATCATACATAGATTCCTCGAGGATCAGGCATTGATACCACGTGGATCGGACATGGATACCACGTGGATTAAATAAATTGCCTATGTAGGTAAGCCGTGAGGATTGACATAATACCTATACATATTTTCGATCAACCCACGACGATTTTCGCTAAAGTCCTCGTAGACTTTTGAACCTCCGCGTTGATTTTTAAATAATCAACGAGGATTTCAACGAAACCCCTCGTGGATTGCCCAGAAATCTACGCAGATTTTTTTATCAACTCACGACGATTTCTCGAAAAATCCTCGTGGATTAATCCATTATCAACGTTGAGAAATCAAATTCTACGACGATTCACCGACAATACCTCGCAGATACTTGAAGGAGTTGAAAAACCACTAACTTAGAATTTTTTTTCATCTATGTATGATCCACGTGGTATCTATGTGTGATCCACGTGGAATCGTTGTCCGATCTGCGTGGTATCCATGTCTAATCCTCGTGGATAGCTAATCCAGGTGGATAATCCACGCGGATATCCATGCAATTTTTTTCAACTGGGTTAATACTATTTTCAAGAATTATTGCTATTTCAGGAATTAAGCGCTTACCCGAAAAATACGTGCAACATATGCACGAGTTTCTGAAGGATTACCCATGAAAATGTTGTACTATTTTCAAAAATTAACTACAGGAATAGAGAGGAACTACGAGTAATCCAGAAGTTACACATTAAAAAAAACACGGAATTGCGATGGACAAACCTTGCGGAAAGACGGGAAGCTCCTGAAAGGATCTAACAAATAAAGGAAAAATTTATTTCAGAAATTCGCTAGAAATACGTGGATTTTTTGAGGGAATTTTTCAAAGAAAACAGAATTTACTGTAGTAATTCCGATAGATAGAGTGAAATACCATAGATTTTCTGCAGGAATCCCTAAACGCTAAATTAAAACGAATTTATATCTTACTGCAATCAAATCGTCATGATTTTTTGAGAATTGAAATTTGATTCGCAATACAGTTATTACTACACTACTCAAAAAAATTATTGCCACAAAAAATTTACACGAAATTTTGTCAATTGTCAAATGCTTCTGTCTTGGTCTATTTTCACCGCATCAAGACGATTTTTTTTTAGTTTCTAAGAAATTTCGTCTTTTTTAAATCCATATATGGGTCAAAGTAATACTTTTTTACAAAACCGTGCGAACGTACATCACCGATCTTGATGCGCTTTTGGTATGTTATAGTACATGGTAAAAAGGTCCCAAAAACAACATTTTAGACCCCCTCCCCCCTCCTTCCCCCACTTCCCGTATAAACGTATATGATCTATATTTTTTCTGAGGACATGAAGTAGTTAAAAAATCTGAAAAAATTCATAAAAATACTTTTTAACAATCCAAACAATCTTGAATTTTTTCAGATTTTTTGAGTGCTTTAGGCCTTCAGATAAAATCATTAAAAATTCTGAAAATCGAGATACGGCGATATGAGCCGATGTAGTGTTCGGAAATTTTTCCAGTTTCTTTTCGTATTAAAAAAACAATACTTGAATTTTTTCCAGATTTTTTCAGATTACCTAACGCACCTTTTGAAGCAAAAAACCGCCTTTTTTGACGAATTATTTTCGTCGAAAAATGCGTCAGCGATACGGAGCCTCGAAAAATCTAAAAAAATTTTTTTCTTGTTTTTTTTATCAAAATACACAACCTCAAATTTTTTCAGATTTTTCAATCAAAGGCGATAGCTTCTAGGGCCGAAAAATGCTATTTTTAACAAAAAAAGGTTCCTAGAACCCGATGGTTCCAGTGAAAAAATTTGAAAATATTTTTTTTGAATTCCTTGTCAAATTTTAATGAATTTTGACCGTTTTAACTTTTCGATTGAAGCTTCCTAGCTCAATCTAGAGCATCCAACTAGTTTTATCATTCCTTAATGTCTTCAGAAACGTTTTCAGATATTTTGCACTAATCTTTGTGATGCTCTACATTGAGCTAGGAGTCTTCAATCGAAAACTTGAAACGGTCAAAATTTATTAAAATTTGACAAGGAATTTTTTTTTTTTTTTCTCTCTCTTTCTTTAAAAGACACCTTCTTCTTAGAAGGGCCTGCAGGAGGCTTGGAGCCCGTGCGCAGGAAGAGTTTTGACTACCTCTCTCCCTACTGTCTCGCATTTGCCCAGGCCCGAAGACCTGTGGGGCAGGGGAAACCTGGGGGTATACGTAGTGCATATGCACTACACCCTCCTCCTCCTCCTCCAGGGAAAAACCCGCCCCGAGACAGGCGGAGCACATGGGTTCTCATCCCACCGAACGGCAATCAGAAAAATCCGATTTCCCCGCCAGGATTCGATCCCAAGGCTCCTCGAGCAGTCTATTGTCTCCGAGGGTAGCACGCTACCAACTGAGCCAGCGACCGCTCTACTGAGCCAACGACCGCTCTTAATAATTTAATAAAAAATTTTTCAAAATTTTTCACTGGAACCATCGGGTTCTAGGAACCTTTTTTTATTAAAAATAGCATTTTTCGGCCCTAGAAACTATTACCTTTAATTTAAAAATCCGAAAAAATTTGGAGTTGTGTATTTTGATGAAAAAAACAAGAAATAATTTTTTTCAGATTTTTGAGGCTCCGTATCGCTGACACATTTTTTGATGAATTTTTTTCGTCAAAAAATGCGGCTTTTGGCTTCAAATGGAGCGTTAGGTAATCTGAAAAAATCTGGAAAAAATTCAAGTATTGTTTTATTAATACGAAAAGAAACTGGAAAAATTTCCGAACACTACATCGGCTCATATCGCCGTATCTCGATTTTCAGAATTTTTAATGATTTTATCTGAAGGCCTAAAGCACTCAAAAAATCTGAAAAAATTCAAGGTTGTTTGGATTGTTAAAAAGTATTTTTATGAATTTTTTCAGATTTTTTAACTACTTCATGTCCTCAGAAAAAATATAGATCAAAAATAGACGTTTATACCGGAAGTGGGGGGTAGGAGGGGGGAGGGGGTCTAAAATGTTGTTTTTGGGACCTTTTTACCATGTACTATAACATACCAAAAGCGCGTCAAGACCGGTGACATACGTGCGCACGGTTTTGTAAAAAAGTATTATTTTAACCCATATATATTATGTATGGATTCAAGTCAATGTAGAGTTAACAGTACTCTTTGAGCGCAACGCTAAAAGTAAATGAAAAAAGTTTATTATTTAAGCGAATCCATGGACTATAATGATTTGTTTATCAAAATCTACATACACAATCACAAAGAACTCTAAAAAAATTGAGCTCTCTACGATAACTTTCGCGCACTATAGGTCGTTTTGAAAGTACCATTTGTGTATGAAAAATGCCCAATAATCGAGTCAACTTAAGCCAAACGAGGAATTTCACGTATTTTAAATGTTACCTTCAAAACGACTTACGGGATGCAGAAATTATCTTAGAGAGCTCTATTTTTTTTGAAAATACTCACTGAACAGAGTACTTTACGATGGTGTATGTTGAATTTGGATTAAAAAATCATTCTAGTCTATGAACACATTTAAACAATTAATTTTCTTCATTTACTTTTAGTGTTGCGCTCAAATACTACTGCTAACTCTACATTGACTTGAATCCATACATAACATATATGGATTTTAAGAAGAAAAAATTTCCATGAAACAAAAAAAATCGTCTTGATGCTGCGAAAATAGACCAAAATAAAAGCATTAAAAAATGGACAAAATTTGGATAAAATTATGTACTCACATAATTAAATAAAACTTGATACAAGAATTTAATTTGTAGACAAAACAATTTTTCATTACTTTTTACAGAAGTACTTGATCTAAATACACTTTTAACTTCTTTCTATTAATTGACATCTTCCCTAAAATTGTATCTTTCATAATTAATACTTACACCAAAATTACTAGCAGCAAACCGATCACTTGCTGAAACTGCCGAGCTTGCGGTGGTATGTGCATAATACGCATTAATATTAGCTAATAGTGAAGACATTACAGCAGGTACTCCAGGGCATAAGTATTTTGTAGACAGACAGTGGAAGTGCCTAAAAACAAAATGAATTATTTCATAAAGTTTGATTGCACAACACTATTTTGTTTATATCACTTACGTCATTGCTTGGTAAATGCTCTCTATTCCATAACGCATAGCAAATTCGTCTACAACTTCTTCTGCAGGAGGATCGAAATAAACTTTCCAAGCATCATCGCCTTTCGCTTGAGGCAATTTCACTAACCCATCATTATTTTCACATAAACTGTGAAACAAATTTTCATGAAGACATGTGTATTGAACATGGTATGGTGCTACTTTTTCTTCTCCTTTGATTTCAACACTGATGTGCAATCTAATAGCTCCTGAAACAGCTGATTTATCTGTTCTTTTTTCCAAATTATACCAAACATCCATTTCTCCACTAAGTGTTCGTACTTCTATTATTGTTTGTCCTAAGAAATCGTCGCTTTCTCTTGTAAGCTTTTGTCTTAATTTAGACTTCAAATCGTTATCTTCATCCCATACTCGAACTTTTATACGATCTGAAGAGTTATGACATTCACTGGAATTTAAAAATAATGGTTATTCTTAACTTATGGCTTAGTAAATCAAATTAAATTTGTGAAATTTTTTAAACTCATCCAAATATAATAATATTTTATGATTCCCCATACATAAGTATATTTTTGTATTTGTACGAAGATAATTTTATTATTGCACTAACAAGTAGATAACCCAAACCTTGGGTCATGGATTTGCTCCAAAATTTTTTTGAAGTCTCCTGTTACCTAATCAAGAAGCTCAGTTTGCTTGGTTTAATCTCATAGACTCTCTTGACGCCAAGGCAGAGACAAAGACGAAAGTCTCACAGAGACAGAGTTCCCATAGTTTTTTAGCAGCCGAAGACGTTACAAACGAAAAGTTACACATCGAAGATCTGTAACTGATTCTCGCTATCTAAAAATTTTTTCAATCAATCTCGTTCGCGACTCCGACCAGTGCGGGTCTCTCAGTGCTAAGTGTCCTCTGTTTCTGTGCCACAGCCTCTGTGCCTCTGCCTCTGTGCCACGACGCCTGCAGCATCTCAACAATGTAAGTTATAAAAGAATAATATATCTATTTTCTTATTTAAATTATTTGCTTATAACTTATTATTTTATTTTTTTTTCCTTTCTAAATAAATGAATACCTTAAACAAATGTAACTCCTAATGACATCACTGCCCCGAGGCGATCAATGGGTAACCATTTCGCCTTGTGGAAAGTGACCCCTTCTCCCTTTCGATAAATTACGATATTTTGAACCACATAAGCACTCGGAAATATACCCTATGCTATAAGACGTCTCGTCTTGGCACTAAAAATTTTACACAAGACCACTGTAACCGTAAAGTTACAAAAGTCCCGTCTCCCGACGTGACACTCCCACAAATTATCCTTTTCACATTTTTAACCCATAAACGACCAAAATGCTTGATTTTTTTGTTGGTTTTTGCAGCGATTTTTTTTAATAGTTTTAGCCCTTCAAAAAATTTCGCACGGACCTATTTCGATGTAAAATTTAATGCCCTTTCAGAAACTTTTTTTTTTTTTTTTTTTATTCAATTATTAAACTACAATCTGTCGTGAGACAATAAGTAAGATTTTTTTACATTTAATAGCGATGATTACATATTATACATGACCGTAGGTCAATCATGTACGGTCTATAGCTATTTAATGTGATGCTCCGATGTTCCCAGTGGACTCGTCCAGACGTGGTCTAATTTCTATTGCGGTTGAGTTACGGTGACACTTGAGATTGTGCATTGAATCGTTTAAGTCTGGATTTTTTTATCCTAGTTTTTGGAATGTCGGAGGCCAGCTCATTTGGGTGTTTTGTAAGCCTCTCTTTGTATTTTGCCAGATATTTTTCTATCTCGCTTGCGACTGAGGAAATTTTTAAATCGTTTCGGATAATTTCGTTTGTAAAAAACTAAGGTGCGTCCACCATTTGTCGCAGCGTCTTGGCTTGAAATCTCTCAACTATATCGATGTTCGATTTAGGTGCGAGACCCCAAAGTTGAATGCCGTAGGTCCAAACAGGCTTGAGTATGGATTTGTAGACCAGAATCTTATTTTCAAGTGATAACTGTGAGTTCCTGCCCAAGAGCCAGTACATGCTTCTCAATTTCAAGTCCAGTTGTTTTCGCTTTGTCCAAATATGACTTCTCCAAATGAGCCTTTTGTCCAAGTGCATGCCCAGGTATTTTGCTTCGTCGCGTTGGGGGATCAAGGTATCGTTTATAGTTACAGGTGGACTTTTTTCTTTGCAAAGAGTGAAAGTGACATGCACTGACTTTCCCTCATTTACATGGATTTTCCATGTTTTGAACCATTTTTGTAATTTGGATAGATAATTCTGAAGCCTCAGTGTCGCTGTGTGAACATTTTTGTGCGATGCGAGAACAGCGGTATCGTCCGCGTAGGTTGCTACTGTAATGCCAGGCATTTCAGGGATGTCAGCTGTATACAGGCGGTACAGCGTAGGGCCTAAAATACTACCTTGAGGAATTCCTGCATTTATGGGACACCAACTTGATACTTCTTCATTGTGCTCAGTGCGGAAGACTCTGTCACTCAGGTACGACTGCAGCAGCTTATACAAGCCACTGGGTAGCGTTATTTCTAGTTTGTGCAGCAACCCTGCGTGCCACACTTTGTCGAAAGCCTGTGCGACATCCAAGAATACCGCAGCACAGTAGCTCTTTTTCTCCAATGCCCCCTGGATTGTTGTGGTGATACGGTTTACTTGCTTGATCGTGGAGTGTTGACTTCTGAAGCCAAATTGATGATTCGGAATGAATTTTTTTGATTTAATAATTGGGTACAGTCTGGCCAAGATTATTTTTTCCAAAACTTTGGAGAAGACTGGTGAGAGGCTAATTGGTCTGTAGGATGTTACCAGTTCAATGCTTTTTCCTGGTTTTGGGATAAGAATTATCTGTGCCGCTTTCCACTGTGCAGGGAAGTATGGGGTGCAGCGTCTAAGTCAAATATCAACATCATTGAAAGATTTCAATCGAAATGTATTCGAAACCTAATAAATGCCCCCTGGTACATTACTGATAAATCCATCAGATAAGACCTGGACATTTCTACAACTGTCGAGGAAATTCAGAGACTCTCAAGAAGATACAAGGAGCGGCTTACAATCCATCCTAACCCGCAGGCGGTAAAGCTTGGGGAAGTTTCTTTTAGCGATTCAAGACTAAAAAAATACAACTACCTCTAGAAACACCTGTATTTAGAAACGATCTGTAACTAAAATCAGATGCCTTGTACACGAGTGACTGTCAAAGGATAGTTACTTCCACGCGCTGATTTGCTGTATTTTATTTGTATAAATTTTCCAAATGTCTCACGCTCAGACAGATTGTAAAAAAATAAAGAAGTTATGAAAAAAAAAAAAAAAAATCACACAGCTACAAAAAAATATTGAAGTTTAAGTAAAAAAGCTGAAAAATTCACACATACCCTACTATTTATGTATTGATGGGAAAAATGTTGGAAGAAAAAATTTTCCAACTTAAGTGACAATTCAGAAAACTGCATGGGTTAGGATCAACAATGTTGTAAGAAATTTTTTAGGTTATTACAGAAGCGATGATTAAAAAATTTTAGTATCAACGATGATTGCATAACCATTCAGATGAGTTCCCGAAAAAATGTGTCGACTACGAATGGAGAAATGTATGTTAACGAAGTAATGTACGATTACGAGCATGGAGAATGTTGAAGCGAGAAATAGAGAGTCAACTTAGAGGTAAAAAACTTGAGCGGCAACTATTCAGAGTGAATGACACAGAAACATTTCGTGAAAGTTGTCAAAAACTTTTCAGAAATGTTTCAAAGAAAACGAAAATTTTTGACAATAAATCTTGCCTAGAAATCTTTATGAAATATTTCAGAAAAATATTTTGAAACGTTTCAGAATGATCGACAAAGAAACATTTCGTGAAAGATGTCAAAATCTTTTCAGAAATGTTTTAAAGAAAACATAAAATTTTTTGAAGAAAATTGTTTGCTAAGAAATCTTTCTGAAATGTTTTAAAAATATTTCTTGAAATGTGTCAATGCGGACAATTATGAAACATTTCATGAATTTAATTAGAAACTTTTCTGAAACCTCAAATTGAAACCATTCAAAGAAAAGTTTCAGTTATCTTTATGAAATGTGTCCAAAACTTTTCAGAAACTTTTCAATGAAAAGTTTCAATGAAAACCTTTCTGAAATATATTGTGCTGTGTGGGTTACGTCGATTATTTTAAGATAAAAAGGTGCGTTACAAAAAAAGTATATAGGTTTGTAAAATTAAGAATATTTTCTCAACTTTTTACTTCTTTTTATTAATTTAACCTTCTGTGGCGACCACAGGATCATGTGTATGTAGGTGTTTGTGTGTGTAGCTACGTGTAATAACGACAATATTTGCTGAGAGTATATGAGAGCTTTTTATTGAGTTCCTCTCATTGTGGCAGTCGTAACGTAACTAACTCGGGAATAAGAATTTATTTATCTCCCGAGCAACAACAAAAACAAAAGGCAATATACAATCAATAGCAATATTGGATTGTACATGCAAGAAAGACTTGAAGTGCGTCGCCCCATGTGTATGTGTGCGCGCGTCTCATCGACGTGTAGCTGCGATTCCGTGGCGACGACTCGAGCTATCGGTGACCATTTTTTTTTGTCACTCCACCCCATTCAAGCACTCACCGGTATCCGCAGCTAGGCATTGCTTCGGTGAAGCCGGGGTTATTTGAGCATTTCTGCTACTTCTATGTTAGTCGTTGTTTTCCATACATCCGCCATCCGTCGCATAGTGATATGCGACGATTAGGGGTCCAGGGACTCATCTTTTCTCTACTTGGTGAACCTCCGATCCAGCGCGATGCCATCGTCGATTGTCGTATCCCCTTTTTCAGAGCCGTCTACTGCGTGGTCACACATTGCTGGCATCTCCTCCTGAGTTAGATATTTTTAGAACTCGCTGTCTAGTGCCATCTTGTGAGTGTGGTTCTCGCTTCTGCAGCCGATGGCAAGCATCCCTTTGCTCTGTCGGATACACCTTCTGAGTGTGGTTCTCGCTTCAGGCGCCATCATGCGTGTTGAAGGAGCCTAGGCTCCCGCATCTGGTGCCCTCTTGTGAGTGTGGTCCTCGCTTCTGACTTCATCATGGGAGTGTTGTGCTCCATCTATTGCCAGCCTTGTCAGTCCTCGCCTCGGGCTCCTACTTATGGTTATCCTATCGCTTCCAGCTCGCACAGTGATCGGGGTTTTTTACCGCTTCGGAGGCTAATGACATAGTCTGGGTCTTCTTTTTGAGTGGTACCCGCTCCACCTCGGGCACGGGCTCGACCACACCAGGCGAAAAAACGAACCTCGAAAATTCGCCAAGTGGGGATCGAACCCACGCCCTACGGCACACCTTGTATCAGCAGGCAAGAACTGTACCCACTGAACCAAGGAGGCCGCGATCGGTGCCCATGCGAGTGTCCGTTTGTGTGTGTTTGTGCAGGT